AAGCCACTCACGAAATCTTGTATTTGTCCAAAAAGCTTTTGGATTTAAGACCCAAAACCAGTCAAGACGTCGACGACAGCAGCATTCGCAAATTCCATCCCTGTCACCTCATTATGGAACCCTGTCCCGCGAACATTCTTCTTGTCCCTGATCGGTTCTGGATTAATAACACTCAAATCAGGCACTCGGATGTGAAGTCTGTCCGGAGCATAAGACTGATAGAGGGGAAGGTGAGAAATACACTGAGACACTTACAGAAAAAATCATTCGAGTTGTAAGCGGTCCCGACTACTGATGTGGTTATAACCATCAGTCGGGCATGTTTGCCATAACACTTGAGTGCATTATGATGGCTGTGCAAGTCCTATTCATTACAAAGATTCGTGGTGGTAACGAATGAGTGGTTCGAAACCCGAATTCAGTTTACTCGACTGTTTTGGTCGTTGGCTTGTTCGCTGAGCTGAGCAATTTTTTTGCAAACGTTTCATCACCGATCGAGGCGACATTATCATTGCGTTATTGGGGAGCGTAGTGGTGCGTAGTAGTGGGTGAGTGGTTGTGTATTCCTGTGTATTCCTCAAGTCTCTCTGGGCAGTCCGCAGAGATTAGAGGACCTTATACTGGATTTTTGTCTTCACTACAGCTGACGGGAGCTTCCTTTTAAAGCCCACTGTTCAGATGCACGAAAGTGACACGTCAAACTAGTGATTAGAGGTAATACACTTCAAACATCTAAACTCAGCTCTACTAGTGAATGTGTTCAAACCCTAATAACGGCTAGTTGTAACACTGGAGGACACTACAATGTACCAGTCTTTTTGGTCAGGTGACACTACAGATACTTTAAACGCGTCGAACCATCCTGAAAAGAATACCATTTGGATTGAGTTATGCAGGTACGAACAACTTTGTATTGTGCATATGGTTCAGCCTATGGGTGAAAAACCATCAGGAACTTATGACTGCAGGTCTGAGGTGACGCCTCTTCAGCTTTTATCCTGGAGATACTTTTCCACTTTCACTTTCACACTGTCCAAGCATCTTCTTAAATGCCAAAGTGGTGACATTTTGAAAGGGACGGCTACCCTGAAATGTGAACTGTAAGTATGCTGACGTCTGAAACCTTTGATCTATCAAACTGATGCATACTGCTACCTTATTTTAAGCTCTCGGATTGTCCGTCTACGTATCTTTTCAATGTTTCTGAGCCTACCAGTCTCAATTATTTTCTAATAGCACTGCTATTTTAAGGCAGTGTTCCATCAGGTGACCCTTATTTAGGCCCCTGAGTCCGCTTTTGACATCAAGCAGTGGTAGTACGAACTCAGGACGTCCAGCGACTGAGAAGACCGTGAAGAATAAGGTTGCACAAGCTCTAACTTGCTTTTTTTAACGCTTTTCAGCACTACCTTGATTAACGCTGAGCTTAAGTGCATCATGGTAAGTCTTATTCACTTTCAGCCAAAACTTCCGTTTTCTTTTTAGCAGTTAAGTGAGGATTTTATGGAAGGTAAGGATCCTCAAGTAAAGAAGGCTAATAACCTTTTTAGAGGCCCGAGAAGTTTTCTCGCTGTATGATCTTGAGGGAGATGGAAGAGTGGAAGTGAGGAATATTGGCAAAACTATTCGGGCTCTGGGCCTCAATCCTAGGGAATCGGACGTGAAGAGGGTCTGTACTGATCTCGGTGAGTCAAGCTGCTTAATTTTTTAAATATCTCTCTAAGGTAAAAACAGAAAGCCTTCACTAGTCATTTAATCATCGTTCTATATTTGAAGGATTTTTACACTTCCCGTTGAATGTAGTGTAGTTGAATAGCGATGTTCTCCATTCACACCGATCAATCGTTAATTCTGCACAGATATCTCTGTAGGTGCCTCCAGTAGACGAGAAATAAACTAACGTCATTAGGCTTTTAACATCACATTGGCTTTCTCACTTAGCCTAGCACTTGGTATCGTTATCACTCCTGTAGTCAGTAGTCACCATTAAATGCCAAAAGAACGGCACGCGATGGAATTTCCTTTTATGGTGCTGCGCTCATCACGACAACGATATTCCTTGAGAAGTGCTCTGCTAACTAGTGGAATGGCCATAAACAAACTCGTCCAACATTCAATACGACCGTCTCTCAATTATGAGCTCAAATTTGGCTGTTTCTCATGGTCTGGTTTCTACCTTACTTACACGTCAGCCGGTAATTTACACTCGCCTCATTCTCGTTTTACTGGGTTTGAGGATGCTGCTGTTTTGTTTGTGGAATAAGTAGAAACACGTCGGCTAACCAGAAAAACTGCTGAAACCTTGAATTCATTATATCGTGATAAACTGCGGTTACCATCTGCAGAAGTCGCGAATGGTCGGAATTGTTTAGAAAAACCGGTTGCATGGGTCATTTCTTCAAAGTGAACTTATTCGATTAGCTTGACAACAGGTAAAATGTGCTTACCTACAAGCTAGCTAGCTCCCTAACCGGCTCACGCAAGGGTGCTGTGTCGATAACCAACTGTGGACACTAACCTTCCGTGTGTTTGTTCGGGAATAGCGCTTTTTTTAAACAGCCGGGGACCGAATTACGGCAGATCAATCCACAGTTAGCCGGGGACCGAATTACGGCAGATCAATCGAAAGCGTCACTTACCGCAATCTACCATCAGTGTGCAAGCGAAAACAGATCAGTCGAGGAGTAATGATACAGTATTGCGGGAGGGCATTCATCTGTCAACAGCTCTGGGTGGCCTACACACTTAAAACTAATAAGACCAGAAGCCATGCTCTGTTCCAGAAATGAGGTACGATGAGAAAGGCATAGTGTGCTCAAGTTTGCAAGCATTGTCTCAGTAAGCGTATGCAAGCAGGATGCATGATCTGATAAGTAGCAGGTATTCCGTTCATTTTGGAACTTCACCAGGTATCTCGATAAGTGTTGCGCAATTTATTGTTGTTGTTCTTGCATCTATGATCCTTTCGATAGTCACCTAGCCATATTTTCAGGGTAATTCAGTCAACAGGAAAATAGGATAAAATGGACCCGGTGCTGACTGAGATGGGCTTGACGCAGATGCACTTGGCCTGTCGTGATTTGCTACTGATTACCTTGTACGATCAAAAAATGTGTCGTCAATTCACAACTGCAATCACTCCATACAGTTATAGATAACTGGTCGCTAACAGGGTTGCCTTGGCAGAAAACGCATTGATTTTTTTCGGAAAAAATCCAATAGGCTGCTTTAAAATCTTGAGCGCCTTTAACCATGCTCTGTACACGCTGAGAAGGATGACACACACGTACTATCAGATCACTGTGAACAAAGGAGTGGCAAACACAGTCATTTGCATACCAATTTAGTTTTCACGGGAAACTCGCCTAAATCTTCCGTTTACGGTGCTCTTAAGGAACTGGATTTTCTGCGCCAGGCCAACTCGTATTCCAGTCGGTACGATAAATGAGATGGCACGATACATGTATGGACGTAATACAAGTAGAACGTAAGGTTGAAAAAAATCGGGGACTGCACCCACCTGATGAACCCCAGGAAGGGACAAACCAATCGTGGGTTGTTGGAGTGTTCAGCAACCATATGCGTAGTGTATTACGTCTAAAAGAGTGCTGCTTCTGAAAAATTATTGTACAGACATTCTAGTTAGGACGGCTTAAACTCATTCAAGAAAAACAGAACATCGTCTAATTTGGATAACGTTTCGGGTATCAGTTGTTTAACCGTTGAAGAACACCGAAATTAGTTAAAGGCAGGGAAGAGTTATGTTCTGTCTGTCCAGTGTAGCATTCGTGCAAGATATTCATGTCTTTACTTGGTCGCTGCTTTCAAAGGCATTAATTGGACGATCTGACAAGTTTACTGTTCCCCTCTAGCTCTGAAGCGACGGAATATACAAAACATAGTACACGGTCCTGATAAGAGCTGCAACATCTATAAGCAGACCGAAATTTTCAGTATAGTGATCGCTCTTTTTGGCAGTATGCTTTGGAAAATTTAAACGAGGCCGAAATTTGAGTGAGTCTTTCTGTGCAAGAAGAGTTACGCGATGTAAAGTCCAGCGACTAGGCAACTGGGGTACATAACGTAGACGAATTCCTAGGCTGTAAGGAAGAATGACGGCACACTGTGCAAAGCAACGGAGAGCATATATCGTAAACATTTTTTTTTTGGGGGGGGGGGGCAGATCTATTCAACCCATATTTTTCAGCCTGTTAATATCGAATGTTCTAGTGAGGATGAACACCTCGTTCGGTGCAGAATCCCTCTGATCTTGTCAGATCTTCACTCAAGTTGCTAGGTCGTTCGTAATAAGATGGCTTATGGACGCTGGTTGCTGGTCTCATTGATAATTCATATGAATATCTATCCTCACCGCTTTCGTATGCCCCCTTCAGTTATCGATCCTTCATCTCCGTGATAGCTCCGATCGCCATTGAATAGCAAATTAAGTGCTGCACTTCTGCATCCAAGATGGCATACCTTAGGTTTGACGAAGCGTAAACACACCACCGTGTTCATGCTTATCCAACCTAGATGGCAGGTAAGCAAATGCATAACGGATGACAAAGAAAACACCAGCATGCTGCTAATCGACCCCTCATCATTGATTGAAGGGTCAAGATCGACGAAAAACCCATACACTGTTGAGGTGAACTTTCGAAGGGCAAGGCTCCGAATAAGGCCAGTGGCATTTTTTTTCTATTTTATTACTCCCCTCTCTGTATCGTTATGGTTTTGCCCATTCAAGAAGAAAATCTGCGTTGTTGTAGAACAGTAATGGTCACTCATGGAAAAGCGACTTAGAATGCGTTTTACCTGGACTGGGAGTCATACGGTTGTTGACGTTGCGAGAATCGTCCGCATCTGACCAGTCTGTATTCTAAATTTCTAGCAAATTTCACGTAAACCGAGGAAACCAATCGAAAGTATGTTGTTTTACCTTGATCCACTAGATCACTGGAACTCAATAATTCATTCCACTTCCTATCACAAAATTCTAGGTGAAAGAATCTCGTTCGAAATGTTCATTCCAATCTACCAAACCCTGGCCAAAGAAGAACAGAAAACAGATCGTGAAGTTTTCATCGAGGCATTCCGTATTTACGATAAGGATTCCAATGGAATGATTAGTGCCGCTGAACTTCGTCATCTTATGTGTGGGTTGGGTGAAAGGTTGACTGATTACGAGTGCGACCAGCTTGTCTCCGGCTTGGAAGACTCCAAGGGATTTGTGTCTTATGAAGGTGAGTAAATCCCAAAGTTACATCATAATCTATATAAGGATTACGGTGCCTTATCGCCCCTACGTTTCCACTGTATAATTGCGATGTATTGACTTGGAACATTTCATTTCCAAGGCACAACACGGCCCTTGAACCTGTATTCGATGCGAGAAAACGCGTGGAATTCAAATACCCACAGGTTTTTCCATGGACTTGTGGTCCGATCGCCTTGGATTTGCTTTCTAGTCCCACTCAATCTTTCCCATACCACATTTTCAGTTGAGGTGAAGCAGATAGCTATCGGGGTCGCCTAACTTTCTTGACAATTCCTTATCCATTACACTACACTACATTACACTACACTACACTACACTACACTACACTACACTACACTACACTACACTACACTACACTACACTACACTACACTACACTACGCTACGCTACACTACACTACACTACACTACACTACACTACACTACACTACACTACACTACACTACACTACACTACACTACACTACACTACACTACACTACACTACACTACACTACACTACACTACACTACACTACACTACACTACACTACACTACACTACACTACACTACACTACACTACACTACACTACACTACACTACACTACACTACACTACACTACACTACACTACACTACACTACACTACACTACACTACACTACACTACACTACACTACACTACACTACACTACACTACACTACACTACACTACACTACACTACACTACACTACACTACACTACACTACACTACACTACACTACACTACACTACACTACACTACACTACACTACACTACACTACACTACACTACACTACACTACACTACACTACACTACACTACACTACACTACACTACACTACACTACACTACACTACACTACACTACACTACACTACACTACACTACACTACACTACACTACACTACACTACACTACACTACACTACACTACACTACACTACACTACACTACACTACACTACACTACACTACACTACACTACACTACACTACACTACACTACACTACACTACACTACACTACACTACACTACACTACACTACACTACACTACACTACACTACACTACACTACACTACACTACACTACACTACACTACACTACACTACACTACACTACACTACACTACACTACACTACACTACACTACACTACACTACACTACACTACACTACACTACACTACACTACACTACACTACACTACACTACACTACACTACACTACACTACACTACACTACACTACGCTACACTACACTACACTACACACTCCTGGAATGAACGAACGAGACTTCATTCAAAGAAAACGAATAAGCATTACCGCTTCAAACTCTTATAACTCGGAGGTTTTGAGTTGCACGCTGGTCTTTTCATCGACCCTAGGGAATGTAGCGCAAACGTATCGTGCTCAGTAGATACCAATGCGCCGGTGGTGGTAATTGCATTTATATAGCACAGTAAAGAGTATGTAATGTCCACCTTGGGGATGCAGGGCGAGATGGCTCAGTAGTTAGAGCGCGAATATAGTGACCGGAAGGTCCGTGATTCGACCCCGATTTCTGTCTCTCAACTTCCCCTGTGTAGGCTTGGGCAACCTGGCAGTGTTCCTTGCTTCCTATAGGTGGCATGACAGTTAGGCACCAAAAGGGTGCTACAGCTGAAAGATTTCCTCTTGGATTTCATTGACCGGCCGTAATTATGCCATGATTTCACTGGTCCACTTCAAAACTGAAACAAGGGTATAGCCGTCAAGTTCAGCGAACAAACCAACCCTAGGGTGATTCAAACAGTACAGACTGAGTGTACCCTCCTGATTCAAGTTTCTTATTAGTTTTTGCAGCGTACACACCTATAAATTCTCGCAAAGCATTTCAGATACAAACCCTGTATATTTTTTATCCGATTTAGACTGTTGGATTAAGATCACGAGACGGTGTGTCTTGTAAGGGTTACAGTCGCAACGTACGACTGAGACTGAGGAAGCTTAGCTTTCAGATGGACCTCGTATAGGTGGTCGAAAAAAATTACGAAAATGTGAACCAGACGCGTGAAACTGAAAAAAATCTTATTCGCAGCGGTAACCAACATCAGAAACATTCGAACAAGTCAATTTTATTCTCTCTGGACAATTGTACTACTAGTTTTCATGAGACTCCGTTATAATCAAATCTACTAGCTCAAAGATTTTCAAATCAGTTGCATCTGTTTTCAGACAAGGTTCGTATAGAGGAATGTGCCTCATCCCCGACGTATCGAGTTTAGAAACCGTAGTCCACAAAAGACCACTGACTTCCAGGTTACAGCTGAAATTTCCAAGCCCACACACATTGTAAACAATAGGTCATCGTACGTTGTCATATCACATTTTTTTTCTTTCAAAAATTTCAAATCTCACTGAAACCACGCGATTATTTCCAAGCTTCCAACACACCAAACTTGGTGAAAATAACTTAGCAAGAGCCCGTGGTACATACAACGTTGCTGCTAGCGGCATCCTTGATTTTTGTATCACTGTCCAGCCATAAGATCGGACCAGTGATAGAGCAAACTGTAACTGTGATGTTGTCCAACGAGAGGTAGACACGGAGACCAAAAAGTTCCCCTAGTTTTGTTCAAGGGGGGGAGGTTCATTCTTCCACAGGATTAAAATGTAAAAAAATATCATGACACTAAGTTATTTGTTGCAGGGGAGCGAGTTACACCTGCACCTAATAGGCAGGCGACTCAACCCGTTCGGTCGATTGATAACCAATATTTGAAGTTTTTCACCATAATGAGCCCTTCCTGTTCTATTTTTCAGCCTTTGTCAAACGCGTGCTGGGAAGTTCCGAGTAGTTATAACAAACAAAATTTTTTACCACTTCTTGACTTGTGTGCTGCAACTACACTGGCTTCCACCTTTTGTCTGCCCAGGTTCTCTTAGTAGTATATTGCTTTTCTGCGTTTTGACGAATAAATTTTGGCCCAATACCATACAAGACGTCTACAACTTAATGCCAACATTGGTAGAAATCTGTCACTCTCGAAACAGCAGTTCTATGCTGAAAACAGGGTCCAGAAGATTAGCGAAAGACCAATTTGGTTTCGATGAGAGACTTACCTGGAACCCAGCTAAACCCCTGGTTAGTGATGTTTTCAAGAGTTTTAAGAAATCTTATGAGTAGTGTATTACAGTCCAGTAAATGTTCCCGAAGCCGAACGATCGAAACCACAGTCTTATTCCGGTACACGGTGGGATCAGACCAATATGGCGTGTGGGGGTTGTCGGGACAACGAAATTCGGTTGAAATGCTAAGTGAGATGACCTTCAATCCTCAAGGTACTAGAAAAACAGGTTGCGTTGGTCGAAACATATAGTTGCGACAGCATGAATGTCACAAACCTTGTGGTTGGTCTACCATGTGTTTCATACCGTGTCACTTTATAAAAGCTAGATGTAGTTAGTCCTAAAAGCAATCCAGGACGCATTTGGCCCTGACTTGGATGCATCAGGATCGGCAGCGTAACCCCGTGGTTAACAGCATTTCACCGATTTCCGCTGTGTCGCATCAACAGGAAAATCATCAAAAAAAGTAAGGAATAACGCCTGACTTCTTCCAAGTAGTCAAATGTTTATACAAAACTCTATGCGTGGGTAAAGCCAGAACAATGTGCATGTGTGTTGTCCCTTAGAGGATGATGAGACGTCGCACACGCACACAGGGTAGGTTGATGATTTAGAGGAAAACTTCTTACTTCCCTCAGAAGCGAAGCCCAAAGCAGCATGCTGGAACTAATAGGTTGCACATAAATTCAGGACCCCAAGAGCCGCGACCCATGACACACAACCCAACGCGACTCCGAAGTTCGCTTTCAACACCGGTGATGTCTGATTTTTCGATAATTCCATAAGCAGCAAGCTTACATTCGGAAAATCTCAGATGGATTTTGATGGGAATTTAGCTTTGCCTTGGTAAGCAATCGGCTTGAATTTCACTGAATATAGCTCACTTGGTGCAGATGTTTCATCTACAATATGCGGTCCACATAGCCCAAAGATGTTTTATCCATACCTTCTGATGTGGTAGTCCTACTATAGGCTCTGTCGAACAATGGAGAGCAGGCGGAAATCAGAATGAAAAATAACAGGCGTTAGGCACTGAATAGAAAGCAGATTCACAAAAAGCTGACGTTTTGAGCAGCGAACAACGACTCAGAACACAGAAAGAGATTTCCAAGGCGGTGAAAGTCCCCAGATATTCCAGAGTGAACGGAGAAGGAGTGGAAGTAGAGAGCTGTTTTAGGAGATCCAAGTTGACTCTTACGGACAAGCGGTTATAAGTTAAGAGGAGTTATCAGTGGAAGATATCAACGGGTTCAAGTAGAGCATAAGGTTGACGGAAACTCGGGGACTACAGTACCTAACGAGCCCCAAGAAGGGAAAAACCGGTCGTGTCCTGTCGAAGTTTCGAGCAAGCCTGTGAGCAGTTTCCTTTATCAATGTAATATTAGTCCATTGCTTTACCTGTTGCAGGACCAACTAACCCATACATACCGGAAGAACAAGGTCCTGAAATAGACCACATTGAGAGTAAACTCGTCCCACCACCGCTCCATCATCGTCAACGTTATTAGCCAAGAAAGATTTAGTTTGATGATTGAAATAGATCTCGCTGGCTAGTTCTCCGGTTACTCCGAAAATCAACCTACTTCGCCTGACGAAGCTCTTCCATTAAACTAAAACCGTAACCCAGCAAAATATCCGAAGGCGGTTTATCAACGATGATTGGAAAGTCATCGGTCCATTATCTGACCACACTTCCTTAAAAAAATGAAGACTGATAAGTGCGGCTGAGTTAGACTCAACACAAGACAATTTGGGGCATTGCAGGACTAGTTTGAAAACTCTTCGTCGATAGTGTCAATGGACGCGTGAAAACTCATTGCATTTGTGCTATCCAGCTCTGATATCTGGAACAGGATGGGCCACTGGCGATAGTGCAGGATGCCGACTGGCCGAAAGAAGGTACATCCAGGATCATGACATTATTCCCCGGATCACCAGAATACTGGTGATACTACTGATGAGGGAGGCATGCGAGTAGTATGTTTTCTCGTAAATCTAATTTGCGTCTCTCGAAAAGTGAGATCTGTTACGGAATTAGTGGAGTCGCTTTGTGGAATTTGCTTGGATTTGAGCAACAGTCAATGAATATCCAGAAAAGTTCAGGAAAACGCGTTCAAAGAGAGGACGAATATTCAGTTTTTGTAAACAAGATGCACATGAGAGTTTTGCTTCCCTGTCCAATAGCTTGTAACTGTTCGGTTGGCATTTTCTAATAAATAAATCCGCAGCAAAGGCCTTCTTTTCACTAATAGTGAGGATACTAGCGCAGATAAAAAGGCGCGTATGGCGAAGCCATCTTGCATGCTGAAACAGAATACAGGCAGCAGTGTGCATGTATCAAGAGGTTCGATGACCATCGGAATAAACCGAAAAAGTCACCTCAAGAACTAGTTGGTTTGAATAACGATGTCGTATAACAATCGCGTTGCTGAATCTCTGCGGTCCATAATGAGGCCCGAAAAGTTAGGGTAATCAAACACTACGGTGAGAATGACAACCATGGACCCACGCTCATGGGCAAGCAATTCACCACGTTCCGTAGAAACAAGAGTTTTCCTCTCATTTTACAAAGAGCAACCACACGCGAATTACGGTACATGTTTTGTGCACGATGTTATGTCTCTGTTCAACCTGGGTTTTATACTGAGACGTCGGTAGTACAGGTAGTCCGTCAAACAGGAATATGCTTGCACATATCATAACAGACTGACAAGACAGAAGCAGAACTTTCGTTAGAAAACTGTACATATGAAACTAAAGGCGAGCGTTATAGCGTTACCTCACACGACTTAACACAATCTGGGGAGCAAGAAAATCGATTGGTCACGTCTTTGGTTAGAGAAATCCGGACAGTGAGACGATTCCCTTCGGGCTCGCCAACGCTGTGCTTGGGTTTTTGAAATATGAGCCGCTTGTGTGGAGCAGCAGCCCAGCCGGCCCCCAAGCAACCAATCACTGCTGAGGGATCATCTGCTGCAGACGGACCTGTGTCTGTGGAGGTAAAGCGAGCGTGGTTAGTCGCTACCACCGCACAGTTTTGCAGTACGACGATTCGCTGGATTTCCATAATGGCGATAGATAATTGTGCCTTCGCTTGAAATTAAAAAAAAAAAGAAAAAATCAACGCACCCGATCAGATATTTTTGCCTATCAGAAACGTAAACTCAAAGAACACAAATAATGGATGTGACTTCAAGCAAGTTGTTCTGCGTAGGTACGTGCGCTACTTCTTTGAGCCCATTGAACCATTGCACGGCGAATAAATAATGGTGTTAACCGTGAGAAAGAAACTGTTAACCAATGAGGCCCTCTGGGGTGAATCTTCTCAAGAAAACGCTGCTACTGATCGATCAATCATGGCGAACAACACATATAAAACCTATAAGACTGAACTCGAACTCGGTGGGTGAAAAGTGAGGTGGACCAATACAGATACTAAAGACTTTACACAAATCGCATCACACAGAAGCCACTGAGATCTTGAAATCTAAAACTACTCAGAGAAGACTGATTCCATAGTGTAGTCCCCGAAAACAGATCAACGCATTGAGGTAGTCATTCTTCGGGGGAATCGTGCCTGAGAAGAAACCCTGCCGTATACTCCCCTAGGCGATTATATTTTCCCGAAAGGACCGTTGCCGACGTAACGATTTTGGCATTTGAAATCACTATATTGGTCAATGTTCTTAGGTTTTTGTGTTCACGTAATGCACAAAAACTGAAAGGAGCGATGATATCATGTATTTGGAGCTGAGGGGTGAGGTGAAAAGTTCGAGAACCACTGGTTCCACCTCTCAATTAAGACAGATAGGTATATCACCGCGATATGGACAGGCAAAGGGCTAGTTTTCAACATTTAGACTTTTAAATAAAGCAAATTGTTTCATGGGACTGTGATAAAAGATTTCGTCCTCGTAATCAAACGGACTCTTCTGAGCAATAAAAATTCATGTGGTCTGGAGAACACACGTCGCATCGAACGCCAAAAAACCTACTTTAGATTTGACCTATTCACTGGTGCAACGCATTCGCTCCGAAGCAGCAAAGTCATGGTTTATCTAAGAGCCGTTACTACTGTCTGAGCGTGTACCCACTGATCCAGCCAACATTCCGTACTGCATTTCGATCGGTATTTCATGGTTAAACAACTCTGAAAGACTTTTCAGCATCACTGCTCATTAAAAGAGCGGCATATCTCTGAAAATGACTATCCTATTCATCTAACTTCCAAGTTATGTAAGACGCTTAAAATAATCACCGAAAAAGGGACCACAGTGTCATTTTGAGGAATCTGATCTCACCTCTCCGGTGAAGTATGTTGTCTGCATACACCCACTGCGTGCTACGAATGTGGGAAGAAGAGAACGATGGACAAATCTCGTCTACACTGATTTCGGTGAGGCACCTGAGTAAGCCATAATCGCACGAGCTCACTTGGGAACTGTGAGAATACACAGATAACTTTCTCTTAGGTCGTTAGATTTGTGTGACGCATAGTCTGACCCGCTGCTCCCTTCCGGTGATGTTCCACGAGATCCAGTGCTGGAGCCACTGTCTACTGACCTAGGATGTCTACTGTATGTGGTTGCATCTACAGTGTGGCCTATAACCTCCACCGTAGGACTCCATGCCCTGCACAATGCTATCGGTGCCGTGAATGTGGAACCTCCCGATCAACTCTGCCAAGTGTTTTATTCTCCCTGTTGGGCCCTGCTCTCCTATACAGCTGTTTTGAAGGAAATTCAACTAGTCAACGGAGAAGGGGGCTCCGAAAAGGATTTAGAAACCGAAAGAGATCATCTCTCATCTATTAGGACCCATTAGGTGTTCTTTTTTCAGGATGTGTGCAGGCACCCAAGACAAACTTTATTCCTTACGCGCAACCAACCTAGCGATAAGTTTAAGCTAACTGGCCACTTTTTGCTAGAGGTTCAAAGGCGCGTATCTAAATCCACTGTCAGTCTACGCTACCAAAGCTAAGAAATGGGAATTTCTTCCGGTCCACAACCGACAACTGGCGAATTTAATGCATGTACGTCATTTCTTTTGGGAAGAACTACATGGCTACTTCGTATTGAACTGTAGTGGACCAACCAGTTAGAACCAGGGTGGAACCCAGAGCGAAAACTTCCATTCCGGTTTGTGTAACTGATGATCAGAACAAACTACCTTTGTTTCTATTCCCATTGTGGCCTTTTAAAACATTTGAATGAAAAGCTGTGGCGCAACTTGGAGACGCTCAGTCTTGGTACCCTGCCTGGTCCAGGTTAGTGATCGGAGGCGTCACGGTTTCCCTCTCTACTGTTTATACCTGATTGTCTGAAGCTCCCATGTCATCATGTCGAAAATGCCCAGTTGCAGCACGGTAGCTAGAAAACTTCCGGAGGGGTTTCAGTGCCAGAGTGACCAACTGATGCAGGCAGGTGGGGAACCACTATACTATCTACGGAATAGAAGGAAAGGTCTAAGTTTTATTTTTGTCACCCGACAAAAAACGAGCCAAATCACTTGATTTTTTCGAGAACCACTGTATAGTTTCAGCTGCAGACATTTTATGCTACTATCAAACGATTTAAGTAGAAAGGCGGTGGAAGAACTTCAAAGTTACGCAGTGACGCAAAAGTAACGCTCGGCATTGCACTGTGTTATTGTATATTTACCGCTCCATACGACACGCGTACGATCACGGTTGTGAGTACGCAATGCAATAATGGACATGTACTATCGGCAGCATTGTTGATTTACTAGCCAAAGCACCAGGCCACGGTCTTGTATATTCGGCCTATGCATGTGGTGTACGAGTAGATGCACAAGTCAGTATGGCTCACCATTGTTTTCTTACTGTACTTGTCTCAATCCGACTAGGTACAACTGGTTCAAATGTCCCAAACTTTCAACCGGAAAAAAACATGCAATACCATACTTCCGCTTTCTGGAGAACATTCTCAGATGTAGCAATTTGGACTAACGTCAGCTGATTGAAAATAATTTTGACAGTTCAATAAGACTTCGTAGTGATGAGAAAGTGAGTGGAAAATAATCCAGTTATCTGGTTTGACCAATGGCACGTGTTCTGATGCAACCGAGACAAAATGAGGAAGTGTTGGTCGGTTGAGAATGAAACTAGTTTGGATTATTTCACCGTGCAAATTGTCGCACCAACATTATCGTACCTGCCCACCTTGGGAGACAGAAGCCCCTTCGGATTAGAGTGAGGTCCACTCAATATGGTCAATCCACACGCACACCTACATGTAACGATCCTTGCCGGACTATACAAATCAAAAGCTGATTCAGCTGAGTTTGTCAAATACGTAACCGATGGATCGGTTTTCAGTTCAGCCACCTCACTTCAAATTTTCTTGGACGTTATGCACAGTGGTTCGCTTTGACAAGCATGATACACGACCTAGCCGTCACGCACGGTGCATGACCACTGCCATTCGCGAAGTATGTAAAAATAGGTGGGGTTCTAACCGGTAACTTAGGACTCTGGGCTTGAAGACAAATTCACCGAGCAGCCGATCAATCTCAAATGTCTCCATCTTTTCCGCCAATACATACCCAACAAGCCTAGTAGGCGTGGCAGAAAATATACGGTCTGTGTGTGACCCCAAAGAAAGTTATATCTGAGACACTCAAGCTTGTACCGGTCCGGCAAAAACTGAACCCTGTGATCTATGCTAGAATTCTTTGAAGACCCCAAAGAGCATAGTCTAACATGAGAAAACTCATTCACTTTTTACAGTTATATAGGAGAGAACTGACAAAGGTTGACACTTTGAGAGAAAATAGACTGGGACTCCCACCTCCAGGTATTGATGATGATGTGAGTAGAATTACTCTTCCAAACATGCCCTCACAGACGTCATCACACCCGTGTTATGTTGCTACAAGAGTAACAAGAACTTACTGCTCACGTGTACAAACCACTAAGGATCATAACACCATACAACGCCTTTGTCCATTGGTCGTAGATTAACCCCATTTGAAACAACAGAAACCTATTAGGGGAATCGGTGTGGGGATGTTGGTAGTTGATATACAGCTGATGTTGCCGTGTTCGCTTAGCCGAGCCATTTGACTTCGTCACCAACCAAGATGAAATCATTGGTGCGTGGTAACTTGGTGGTACATCACAGTATGTCGGTGTGTGGTTCTAAAACAGCCAGAAACACATTGGAAAGAATAGTCTCTTCAGCGTTTTGAAAATCTGCAAAGAAGACGGTACCATTTCCATAGCATGGTTCCCATAACTACCATGATGGTAAGCGATACCCTCCGTCATATTGAGAATTCGAACAACTGAGTGAGCGGGGAATGTGTCAGAGCTCTCTTCCGATAGAGGGCAGCAAAACCAACACCGGGCCATCACCATGTCGGTGAGTACTTCTAACGATTGATGCTGTGGATTTGTGGAACCACACCCCTCACCGACGATTTGCACCATCATAGCTAAGACCCTTTGTTATGTCATTCATACTCCGCCTCTAGGTCCCGCATTGTCCATCTTCCAGTAAGAACCTTCTTGAGCAAATGGGACACGGCAAGACAATCTATAAACTGGCACACGAGGTAGATGAAATAGCCAGAATGGTTGGTGCAGCCGAATCAAATGAACAGTCGGGATTCAAACACATATCTGGTAATCTATTTAGGTGGTGATGGACTAGTTTGCACCCGAAGGTTGTAGGAGGGCTGGGATACTACCAGGTTGCCCAAGCCTGGACAGGGGAAGTCGAGAGGCAGAGGTCGGGTTCGAACCACGGACCTTCCGGTCAGTAAATTCGCGCTCTAACCACTTCGGCCATGTCGCCCCGATGGACTAGTTTAAGAAATTCGTTTCAGGAGCCCCCCTCCCCCGCTATATATAGCGTCAAGACCCACACGGACATGCAGTCCACATTCCTGGGCATATCGATGGCTGAAGACGTATGTGCAAAATTCTTGGTAAACACTTTAGACTCAAATAACAGCGGACGCATCAATCCCAGCGAAATGGCACTCCCAGTTCTCTATTTTACCTGGTTGAATGCATACGTGCACATTCTGTTTACATCAAAATACAAAAAAATGTCGGTAAGACAGATAAATTCAGCAAGACGAACACAAGTAAACATCTACACAACATTGATGTTTCGGGATTACAGAAAGGCTTAATGGTATAACTCATGTTATCTGGAGTGGGTCTGTGTAATTACTTTGACTTCAATCGAATCAGTTTGTGTTGGCTGGAGCCATTCATCGTGACAGAGAGTGCGGTCCAGGGGACTAATCCAAATGGCCACCTTAGTTCGGGGAATACACTAATTTATTTTCCCTAGAGGCTCACTTGAATCCCAACTAAATCTCGCGTTTAGTATATTCTTCAACTGAATGTGCTGCATAAAAGCCACCTCAGTTGGTAGAATATTCGAGATACCACAGTATATTTTACTGATGAATATAATGAACGAGATTCAGTTGAGTCTCTCTTGAAAACCAAATTGATGTGCAAATCAGTGCGTTTCGGGAATCTCGTACAATTTGGGTTCGACCAGAACATGAAGTTGAGGGAAATTGAGGCGTTGTGCCTATCGGACGAACTCCAAGAAAGGCTCAACCTCTCGTTGGCTGTCAAAGTGTTTTCATCAACCTTAAGAACAGCTTTCTTCAAGACTGTCTTGGATATTTCTCACTTATTTTATCCAGGTAAAAGTGTAATCTCTTGAATGTTTGACATCATACTGCAGGAAGCAATTTAGTAGTGTTGTTTCTAATTACCACACTACAATAATTGTTTTACGGAAGAAATTATGTCCTTTCCTTCTTCGGTGGCCAGATTTACTCACTCAAAACTAATCGCTGTCTCAAATGGATAATGAGTCTGAAACGGTGCAGAAAGGGGATAATGAGGCGAACGTCTTTGACTGATTTTACTTTGTAGAACAGATGAGAACACCATGACTGATGGGCACTTTAGTCTCCCGGGTGTATGATGGATGTCGTGCGTACAGCAATCATCTCCAAGAGATTAATTTCCGTTTGGCGTCGACCCAGCTCTACTCTTAAGGAGAGACAAAACAGCCTTTTGTTTCGTGATAGTCCTCTTCGGGCGACTATAGCTAACTTGTCCAGTTTGTCTTTTTTCTCATTTCTAGGCCAACGCAATTCATACACGTTACCGACCGTGTACACAAAACGACAACTCATTAGAATGATATGAACCCCACTAAATCTATAGCACAATTGAAATAAACTGTCAAGCGTTATGGTAGGGGAACTGAATTTCTAGTGATATCCTGATTAAAACTAACCAGACCAGTCTTCTAAATTCAATCTCACGAGAATGTGGCAAGTCCGCGGTTTGAGGCTGCTAAAATTGATAAGTAAATTAAACCCATCACATACCATCATTTCCAGATAGATGTTTAGGGTGCATCAAAATCGAGCAATTAAATTTTACAATACGCATCAGAAGTTCAATGAAACCATGAAAGCATGAAGCCTTTTAGTTCCATCAAAACACGGCTCAGTAAAAAGAAGTGCATCTCTGTTTAGTAGACGATGGGACATTGCCAACTGATCTGAGTATTACTCACCTTGTTGCGGCACAACGCCCATAAAGGGTAGAAACGGCATAGCCAGACTGTCCACAATAATCAACTTGAGGTTGAAGAAAAACTGCTCCCAATGACTAATGTTCGTCTCTGTGTTCGCTTGATGAAGACCGGACGACTTGGCGAGGTGTAGTCTTGTTTGTACAAGGATTTCGATTAATCCGGTTATGTCAGGTGCTGCGCAACAGCGGATTCGTTGCATGAAACCAGCAGCAGACTTGAAAATGGAAATGGTGTAAATCAGATAACGGCAAGTCTCTGACGTTGAGGTGTGCGTCCACATGTATCGAACGAGAAAAGGACCCTTAAAGCGCTGAGTCCCTATGATTGCGGGTATGCTTGTTTCAAGAGCTTAGACATTTAGCACTGACTCACTTCATTGCTCAAAGACACTTGTAAAAGTTCCAACAGCCTGGGTGCGCTGAAGTTCCCTCCAGTATCAATGTACAGTATCGATGCGGTCGGAGACTTTATCACAAGTTCGGCGCATAGCGTCAAGCAAAACTAAAAAGGAAAGCGCGAAATAAAAGAATACGCAACAGTGCCGATAAAAACCGTTTTGAAATTTCATTCGTCTCCAAGTTTCGAAATATTAGGATAGCACGAACCCTCCACTGATGGGAAATTCGAACACACAGAGTGAAACTCAAAGTTTTCATAGCCTTATCTAGCTTCAACTACTTAAAACATTAGCACCAAATAGGGGTTAAATGGAAAAACCGCCCCGTATAAAAGTATACAACATACGTCAAAACAACGAACGACCTGGTACATAATTAGCCGTTACCAAATTTATTGGCAGCAATACACCATTACCACCAACTGGTGCTTGACTGCTACGCAAGCATGAGAGGAGAAAGCCTCAGTGTCGAGTGAAAATGGCAAAAGTAAGGCAGGGACTACGAGCGAAAAAGTCCTATGCTCATAGTAAGTACGCTAATAATAATAATCGTTCAGCCGTAACACCCTTCCGGTGCCTAGCTGCCATGCTACCCGAAGGAAGCACGAGGACGGGGATACTGTCAGGTTGCCCAAGCCTAGACAGGGACAGGCGAGAAGCAGAGTTCGGGTTCAAACCACGGACCTTCTGGTTAGTAAATTCGCGCTCTAACCACTTGAGCCATCTCGTATCGCATCGCGCCTAAGATAATCAACTGCTGTTTACACAAGTATTCCAGAAAACTCAAAGGAGATGCTCAGATTCTATCGTTTCTTACTTTGAAGATATCGATTACCACCGCATTGCAAAAAAAGTTTCGAATGTATTGACGACCCTATTAAATTCAACACACAGTCATTGTTCATGGATAATACATACCGGTCAATCGCTTAAAAGCATTTCTCGAGAGAAACTCATCCAGCACCACTAAATTTCGGACTTGGAGTGACAGTGAGATAAATTGTGGCACTACAGCATGAAATCCAGAGTGCTTTGTTGCTGCAAGTCATGCTGTCCAGTTTAATGATTGGTAGTCACCATTCAGTTAGATGTGTTACCTAAGTGCACCATATGATGGAGGAAGTGTAGTGCAGTTCATCCGGACGTTTGATTCTACCAAAGAAATTCGGAGAACATCAACAGGGCTGCTCCGGATTTGCAACAGAACCAGTAGACATGTACAATACTTGCATTAGGGAAACTACTCACAAGGTTACTGATAACACTTCGACCGGTTTCGCTCTTCTCAGGGCTCATCAGGTAGGTGCATTCTCAGAGTTTCCGTCAACCTCATGTTCTACTTGAACTCAAACTGAACTGTTTTCGAGAAATACACTCAGTTGCAAATCAATTTGGTTTTCACGAGAGACTTAACTGAATCTCTCGTTTATGAATGGGCTGCACAAAGGCTGCCTCACGTTTGCCTCACGACAAATACTCTCAGCAACTTTGTGAGTCGTTTCCCTTATGGAAATATACCGCGATATCTCGTATACGGTACCAATTGAAACATGGGATGAACTTTGTGCAGCACATTCAGCTGTAGGACATCATAAACGAGAGATTCAATTGAGTCTCCCGTGAAAACCAAATTGATTTGCAAAGGAGTATATATATATATAACACTACCAGCCGATAAAACTAACCGACTGTGAGATGGGAGTCAAAACTCACAAACAAGCCTTTTCGGTCTGACTTATGGTTTCATTACTGAAGCTGCTGAGTGTGAATCACAATATCTATGGGTGAAAATGTGGAACGGCGGGAAATCACACTCGATCAAATAAAACAATGCGTGGCTACTGACACACTGTAATCTCTATGTTCTCTTTGAGAAAAGTGAATTCGGTCGCATTAAACAGGTGTCCGCATTGGAGAACAAAGGATTTTTTAGAACAGCAAGCTATTCGTAAGTGTCACACACAATAGCGTAAATATTTTACGGGTGTAAATAGGATTTCTTTTATATCACATGAAGGGTAGAATCGGTCTTTCAAATCTTGAGAAATGTGATCAGCTCGCAAGGCTTTGGAATGTTTCGATCGACTGCTGAAGCATTTTTCAAGTATCTGTATTCATATCACTCTTCCTGGAACATTGCTTTTCTTGTCGTGACACATTTAACCTCATGAGTCCATGCCAAACAGGTGAAATGCTAGACTCAAGCCTCGAAATAGGACAGTATTGGTTTCCATTATGAGTAAAAATGTTGAAAATTGTGAACGCAACTGTGAAAAAGTACAGAATCACCATGCAATCATGAAGCACCATTTCAGACAGGAAGGAAGCTTTGATGGGAGTTCAGATTTGGGATTTGGCTAGTTAAAAACTACTACGCTGTTTCTCTAGCGCATGATAACCGCATGCGAATCACAACAAAGATGCGGTTTTATCCTGTTTTACGGTAGTTTCGTTATCAAAATCGGTTCAGTTAAGTCATCCCACCTCCATGTGGTCCAACCTGCTTACGATACGACATTGTTTCTATAGTCAAGGAATAACCTTCCAACCGGTCTCGTCATTTTAAGGTTTATCGCGTAGAGGCTACCCCTGAATTTCCATCAATTTCCTTTCACTCTTGCATATGGAACTGGAAATTCATCTGTAAATTAAGATGGTGCAAGCGATAGTTAAGTGAATTCCGTTGGTCTCTCACTTGGCTCTTTGGATGGCAAACGAGTATCCGACTCCAGATGATTCAAATTGCAATTTCGGGGTCTTGCGAGATGGGTATTTTGTTCATAGCCACACCACCCTCGTTTGAACGGCCGTGTTCCGGTTCTGGCGTAATTATCCCGGCACGGCCATTGGATATGCACTGTTGATGAGCTCTAATAAGAGCGAAACTCGAGTCCAGTGCTTCTCTTTGGTGTGGACTCACCGGAATAATTACACCAGAACAGGAACACGGCCGTTCAAACGAGAGTGGTGTGGCTATGATTCAAGTTGAATATTTACAAAAACGTGGAAATGTATATTATCATTCTGAACAATATACATGTACCGATGCCTCCAACTTTGGTGCCGTTTCATGGTAACAAATAACACACTAACCTCTACCACTTAGAAGAAGATGCAATCACATATCGAGTCACAATAGAAACGCTTTTTCGAGGTAATTTCTATAGAAAACTAATTCGGCAAAGACTTATCAAGCTAACGTGAAAATTCCGTTAAACAGAGTAGGTACTATACCGGATACAAGACTTCCATTTAAGTTTTTACACAAGACTTACAACAAAGAGAAGCCAATCGAATACCCTTACCTGTGTCTTTCCGACCGCCGGTTTGCCGATCAGCTCTGTTAGTTCACCAGTACGTATTCCACCTGAGAGCAGTTCATCAAGCCTGCAAACAAACAAGCATTCTGAGTTGAAAAAATGTCCCGGGATTCCGCCTCACTGATTCATTTGACTAAGCATAACACCAACGAAAGGTGACTAGTGCACTCGAAATGCCGACATGGTGATCATAATGACCGTAAATAACAGTTCATTTGTGGTATCCTTTCGGTGCACAGCTATATGCAACCCAAAAGGAGCACGAGGGTTGAGATACTGCCAGGTTGCACAATCTTAGACGGGAGCAATCGGGAAGCCAGGGTTGGTTCCGAACCAAAAACATTTCGGTCAGTAGCATCACGTCTTAAACATCAAATTTCGTCGAGTCCTGAAAATGCACATGAAACTAAAATAAAAGAAGTCATACAGCGACGTGGCAATTTCCACGCAACGACTTCCGTTGAATGATGACTGCTGTAATGGGAACGAACATAGGATATTATTCCAGGGTCGTGTAAAGACGGAGCAAGCGAAACCAGGTTCATTCACCTGATCTGAGTGAAACTTCCACCTCAGAAGTCGTCGCCAAAGGAACCAGTCAACAAATGACCGCGTAATGCGGATTCTGGCAGTATGAAGCGAGTGACTATATATCCCGTCTAACTGCGAGTTTATAACGCTGCTGATCAGTCGCTTTTGACTCAGTGGTTAAGTACTCGACCAGTAACCGGACGGTTGTGGGTGAATCTGCACATCGAAATGATCGTAGTTTGGCCTCAGTCAGTGTACTTTACCCAATACCAACTAAATTACAGATTCCGCAGACAAAAGGTCGTTATCATTGCCATTCTCATCAGTCTGAGAATGATGTTGAGATCATCCGGGTCCTCCAAAACGTATTATTATTGTCCACATGACTTAGAAGGATGGAAATGAAGATGAATGCACTGCAACCCTATGGACAACAACAGAAACTCCAGTATGGGAGGGGAATATGGAGAATAAAAAGATGGGAAAATGAACAATATCCCCCACAAAAGAAAGGGTAATTTGCTTCTTGTGAAGTTGATGAAAAGTTGGATACGACGCAGATTTCAGTGTAACGCAGTGTCGATAATTTTGCTAGACATATAGGTGACACTAATACGACATGAACAATACAGTATAGTTCATTTATCCTATTATAAACCACGTAACAAAAGTAAGTGGATTAACATCAGGGAGTTGTCTGAATCTAATCCACAAATATGTGCTGTCACATGTCTAGTAACTCGAGAATAACAGCTGGAAAGGCAGAAAAAGGGATAGAAGGTTTATTTGAAGAAATTAGAGCATTTGCAAGTTCCCAAATGGCCTAGCGTCTTAATTGACCTAGCAAAGCTCCATCTAAGCTCATCCGTCAGCGAACTGTCCCACGATTATGTGAGCTAGAGGACGAAAGGAATATACTTGTAAGTATCTTCTAGTATTAAACAGTTCGTCTATGAATCATGAAGTCTCGCTCCAAGATTGATTATGGACAGGTCTGTCTCCCAAAATGAATTCGCAACTGTAACGCTGTTTCTTACAAGATTTCTTCCTGGAGCGAGCCCTCTTGCCGCGTTACTTAGCCGACACTGTGCTTCAGGCAGCGCTTTAGGCTTTCACTGGAACATCTTTGACCATGGTGCCTGTTCTCCACTGCGCAATATCAAGTCACGTGATTCTACAATGAGAACTGCTAAGTGTTGACCATACTTGAGGTTCTCCCAGAAAGCTGTTAGCCGTAGGTCTTTCTGCCATGACATATGCTATGGAGAGTCAGTTTTTACTGGTTTCGGTGGGATTCTACTAGGACCAGTAAAAAATACTTCATTTTTGGCAGTGTGCTTGGACGTTGGATGCTAAGAAGTCAAAACAGTCTGGTGGTTCGAATCTGTCCGCAGAAGTGTCCTTTGTGTTCATATTTCTCATTTTCAAGGTAACCAAAGAAGTGGAAGTGTCGACACATTGATAGCTCGGGTGCGATAACTGACTGTTGATCCGCTGGCAGTTCGTTTGTTCACCGAGCTTGGCGTTTAGCTTGAAAACTTTCCGTCACTATATGCGGAGGTACCTAACCGCCCATTGCTGGTATTTCTCCGCATTGTGAAAAGCGTTTGCAAGCTAACTGATTAATTCGGCGAACTGATCTACCACCGCCTGCAACATCCAAATAAATAAAGTCCTAAAAGTGAGTGTGAAGACAACAACGAAGCGAACCAGCTAACCTGACGGGGTAGCTGCGACGAAATAACCTAATATGGTGGCTATGCAATGGGTTGCGGTTCGAAAAGGGGGCACTCGTTCCGTTGATACCTACCTTGAACGATTATACTTCTTCCTCCTCTGTTAAAGCAGTCCGTTGCAGGTGTGTTGACCATATGTTCGAAATTTTCACATCACTTTCTACGCTTGTTTCAGACTCTAGATTCATCTACAACGAGAACTGCTAAGTGTTGACCATACTTGAGGTTCTCCCAGAAAGCTGTTAGCCGTAGGTCTTTCTGCCATGACGTATGCTATGGAGAGTCAGTTTTTACTGGTTTCGGTGGGATTCTACTAGGATCGGTAAAAAATACTTCATTTTTGGCAGTGTGCTTGGACGTTGGATGCTAAGAAGTCAAAACAGTCTGGTGGTTCGAATCTGTCCGCAGAAGTGTCCTTTGTGTTCATATTTCTCATTTTCGAAGTAATCAAAGAAGTGGAAATGTCGACACATTGATAGCTCGGGTGCGATAACTGACTGTTGATCCGCTGGCAGTTCGTTTGTTCACCGAGCTTGGCGCTTAGCTTGAAAACTTTCCGTCACTATATGCGGAGGTACCTAACCGCCCATTGCTGGTATTTCTCCGCATTGTGAAAAGCGTTTGCAAGCTAACTGATTAATTCGGCGAACTGATCTACCACCGCCTGCAACATCCAAATAAATAAAGTCCTAAAAGTGAGTGTGAAGACAACAACGAAGCGAACCAGCTAACCTGACGGGGTAGCTGCAACGAAATAACCTAATATGGTAGCTATGCAATGGGTTGCGGTTCGAAAAGGGGGCACTCGTTCTGTTGATACCTATCTTGAACGATTATGCTTCTTTCTCCCCTGTTAAAGCAATCCTTTGTAGGTGTGTTGACCATATGTTCGTAATTTTCACATCACATTCTACGCTTGTTTCAGACTCTAGATTCACGGATTTCGAAACATTTAGCTATGATCACGTACGAATAGGTAAATATGAACAATAAAGCAGTGGTCACACGAAGTATGACTCACTTTCTGCTAGTTTCTAAAATGATTCCGTATTGCAAGCCCGAGGTTCCTACTGGACAGTGATTGGTATCAATTGTTATGTCGCACAGACTTGAGAAGTTCAACCACATGACTATGGGGAGTCGAGAGTAGAGTTCAAGGGTTCAAAATCAAGGTCAGGTAGTGTATGCATTCATATTTTGGCTTCAAGTGAAGGCTGGCCGTGAGGTGGTCAGGTTCACCTTCGACAAGAAGCGTTACAACTACTACTGTATGGGATGCTTGTGGAAAATTAGGTTATTTTGTGCAATCTGTACATTGGTTGGATAGATTAAAGTGTTGTCATTTGAAGCTCAGTATCACCAGTTCCCAGGATAAACTGTATCCAAATCACGAATACTGCATCATTTCAGCAACGAAACTAAACAGTTCATCTGTACCACACCTTTGGTCCACACCTGTCGTGCAACTCATCAACAAGTTGCCAACCCTCACTGTCGAAGAATCCGCGGAAAGGGGTGCTCAGGCGACTGACTAATTGTTCAGTTGTAGCACTCTTTTAGTGTCTGCCATGCCACCCGAAGGTTGCACGAGGGTTGGGATACTGCTAGATTACCCAAGCCTACACAGGGTAAGACGAGAGGCAGAGGTCGGATTTGAACCACAGACCTTCCGGTCAGTAAATCCGCGCTCTAACCACATAGGCCATCTCGCCTTTGGTGGCTTCTCCAATCCAAATCACTCCAAGGATAAGCAGTGGCGATTGAGCTCATATCCAGCCCATGGTGGGATAGCTCAGGTATGGATGGCTCAGTTGATAAAATGGTGAGTGTGAATTTGAATACCGAGTCGCCCTACCAGTGCAACTCTCTCATCACGCACACGTGCTACTTGCGTAAAAAGAGCGACGCTTCGACGTCTGCTTGGTTCAGAGTGAAGAGTATCTGCATCCGTGCACGAATATCCCGTCCTACGTAATAAATCCTTCATGGTCCCAGAGGTGAATTTTCGTATGAATGAGGGAAAGGTATTCGAATTCTGGCGAAGTTGGTCGGAATATGAACTCGCGCCTCGATAACCATAAAGTAAGCTGTTTTTCGACAAAATGTCATATAACAGATGAATATTATGGTAAACCCATATGCTTCGAGAAACTGTGGGCTCAAAGAGAAGATGTCCCAGTCACAGTTGAAAAAAAACTACACTCTCGTAACCGGAGCAGTAAAAACTATGAGCGCTTTGTCCACTCAAAGGAAAAACACTGTGCGACATAGGTCAACCGAACAGAAATGTTTGAAGCACACTGCCAGGGTCACGTACTTTCCAAGCTCTGTCTGATTTTCCGTCATTACGTAAAGGTTATGGTAGATGAACATGTTTATAGACTCGACAGGCCGTAAAATTTGGAGCGAAAACAAGATATTTTTGAACAAATTTAGGTAGCAGTCGAAGGTCATAATTACTAGATTGGAAACTCACTTTGGCAGTCCAGTTGAAAATACTTTTCGAGAGGAAGTTTCCAACGAATAAAGTGTGTCACAAGAAACAGCTTGTGGGCACCATTGTTTTCGAAGCAGGTTCCGCAGTGCGGTGGCATCCTAAAAGAATGCAAGTTGAGAGAAAACAGTAGCATGTAAGATGCGAGAAATAGGCTGATCCGATCCTCAAAGCAGTTGTGAGTTGGTGTTTGGAAAGTCTGGGCTCACCTTGGAGTCTGGTTGTCGTTTTGTCTGTTCTGATGTCGAAGAGGGCGCAATGTTTTCCGTCAACTTTGAATACTTTTGCAATACATCCGAAATCGGGGCGTGAAATGCAGAATGGCCACGATGATAATCAAAAGGCTCAGGTCTGTGTGGAGTGAGCAAAAGCCGTATTAACGGCTCCCCCTTAAACGTCGTATCTAAGAGCCGGTGGATTTTCCGGGTTGGATCCCGGATAATTTTGAGATGCTGGTTGTCTTGCGGCTGAAATACAAACAGTAATCAAACCAATAGGATGAATGAGAAATTCTGTTGGATTTCAATTGAGACTTCCATTGATATCAGTGTAATCTGCAGATGAATGAGTATTTATCTCCACACTCAACCCAGATGACAAAGGTCTTCTTCCACGACGGAAAACGAGAAATAAGCCATTCAGTTAGCCATTCACCAGCGCTAAATGGAACAAAAGCATGCGAAAGCACCTTTGGACATGATGTCCAACCACTAGGATTCCGGTTTCAGTAGGGACACAAGGAGAACATTTTGATGACTCCGAAACGAAGGAGTGTATGCACTGTGTTCAGATCAAGTGTATCCACACATCTGAGCAAACTGTTAGGTGCGATTAGCCGCAACAGAGAGATGAGGATGCTCAACTCTTTTTCATGGAGCAATGATTTGCTGGATAATAAAAACCTCATTTTCTTGCATTCTTTTTTGAGTGGATATAATTCAGTTGGAAAGCCTTTTCTTGCCTAATAGCATAGAAAGTCGACCTGACATATATGCTTTGCGGCAACATTGTTCAACATTTCAAAATGGTAAGGTAAAACGAACGACCGGAATTTCCGCGTCAAAATAGGGTGAAAGGGAAGCCGTGCGTTTTCTGGGTGATCGCATCCAGGTAATGGGTACGCATTTGGGGCAATAGTTCCCAGTTCGACGTTGAGCCGGAAAACTATAATGGGGTAATGCAGCTCCGTACTGTGGTGTGCAGACGGTAACAGAAGACATGGATACTGTATCTCACTTATGATCCATGGACATACCACTTGCCCACTCGCACAACACCAAACATTATCGTACTAACAATCTTCAAGTGATTCACTTTATACCACACCCTCAAACCATTCAATGAGATAATTCTATCCTGTTGTAAAGAGTGAACAACACAGCCGAACACACAATCTGGTGAATAGCTGCCGAATGCAACCTGACACCTGTCATTTTACCTTTAATAAACGGAAAGCATGAGGTAATATCACGTTCTGTTCGGAACCATCAGTCATGTAAAACGAAAGGGGAAATTCAAATTCATTGAGATGCAATCTTTTGTAGAATCAGCGGCGTTAACCATTTTCAAGGAGATCGTTGAAGACATCGGAACAGCATCTAGTAAACCATACTTTCAGTGTCACGGTGTGGACACCTACGTACTGCTCTTTGCGAACAGCTTTAACATCATATCTTTGTAATGTACTACTCATAAATCCTTCTCGGGAGAGGAAACTTAAAACCATAAGGCTGAAAAACGGAGGAACTCACGTTACTCGGGTGATCGTGGGTGGAAGACGTTCGCGGGGTGATGGGAAGAGAGCGAACAATAAAGTGATGTTAAGGCTCATTCGCAAACTAATTTGGTTCTTTCGAGAGACTCACCTGGAACCCAGCTGAATCTCTCTTTTATGATGTTCTCAGGCAACTGAATGTGCTGCACCTGGCCGCCTCATGTTTCAGTCGCTACATCATAAACGAGAGATTCAGCTGAGTTTCAGGTGAGTCTCTCGAAAGAACCAAATTAGTTTGCGAATGAGCCTTAACATCACTTTATTGTTCGCTCTCTTCCCATCACCCCGCGAACGTCTTCCACCCACGATCACCCGAGTAACGTGAGTTCCTCCGTTTTTCAGCCTTATGGTTTTAAGTTTCCTCTCCCGAGAAGGATTTTACCTGTTGTTTCTCACACTCATGCAACCTCTGTTGATTTTTTCCTTTATTCTTATTTTGTACAACGCGATTCCCCATTTTTGTTATTCAAATTCACTGAGATGCAATATTTTTTAGAATCAGCGGCGTTAACCATTTTGAAGGAGATCGTTTGAGACACCGGAACAGCATCTAGTAAACCATACTTTCCTCTTTTGCGCCCATACCACCTTTCTTGTTTTCGACCTCAACGTAAACCGTCCTTCGACCTTGTCATCGCACGTGTTGTTTAAGTCAACTCGTGGTTCCGCTACCTTGAAAACACGTTGCCTAAAGTCTGTGTAAATTAGCGGTTCCCAAACCGGTGAACAGAAGCCGGTGTAGTCTCACGATTTGAGGTTTGTATACTTCTATTATTGCATTATTGTATTTACGGTACCGCATTTGTAGATAACCATCCATTTGAACGATTTGGCTTTTGGGGTTTTGCGCGTAACTCAACGTGGTCTAACAGACTGCTGGAAACAATGTAAACTCTACCCACTGACAAGCCAAACGGACGGCCTTCTGTTCTGAAATGAAACGTCCGCTCATTTCATAAGTAGACAGTATTAAGGTGAACATCGCATTGGAGAGAGTTGCTGTCATTGGGAAGGTTAGTACTTTGCACGTAATACCAGGTTTCAAAGCCCCCCGTTAGGCGCCTCGCACAACCGAACGACAATATATCGCAGCCTAATCTACCACACATTCGTGTTGAATTGTATGCATTTTGAGTGCAGTTGAAATCATCGAAATCCTCGGCTCTTCTGTACCGACCAAAAGAATGTGCTTAAGGGAGCCAGACGACATAGATTATTCGTATATTGTTGAAACGATGGTAGTGCAGGGATTCTACGGCCATTAAACGGAGGTATGGGACATCGATGTGGAATCCAAGAGCAGAAAATCTATGGACGTACCAAATTTTCTCTAGCGATCGTAGCGATTGGCTCATATCAGCAGACCTTCAAATCCAGCATTCCGGCTGTTCAAAAAAAGACACTTTCTTCAGTTTCACAAGGACGTAGGGATACTTCACACTAAGTCCCTACCTTTCCTTAAGCTCTCCACCCTTTACTAGGGTTTTCGTCCCTCATGATTGTACGGAAGTTTGGCACCAGCATAGTATTGGTGTTATTAATAATGACTGTTAATTGTTATCCATCTACTACCTTCAAATTTCCGGACAGTGCGTCAGTATTCACCACAGTTTGCATAACATGCCTTCCAACTAGTGACGGCGTCTAATTTGTGATGTTACTGAAACCACACGCGATGTATCACTTCATCTTGGGTGCTTACACTGCCTCGGGAGCTTCTTGTGTTTCTGGTGTCCCAAGTCCCAGTTACAGCTTTGACTTCATCAGTTTTGTTTTGCGATATATACGTATCAATTGGTATACTTGCAACCTGCCAATGTTCCAACCAACACAGAGTGAGAGAGGTTTCCGGGTGTTCCTCAAGTACTCCATCTATGCAATGGGCTCAGGCGTTGTAATGATGGGCCCGTTGAAGTTAGCAAGCTTTGTCGCAACGTGCACGCAGCTTCAACGAACATTTTGGGGACGTTTGTTACCGGGTGATATGCTGATATTCAGCACGCGCACATGTACTTTTTTGCTTAAAAGGGCCGAAAAATCTCGAGGGTATGGAAAATAACAGTTAGACCCGAGGGTCGGACACTGTCCTGCACGAAGTTGCTTGCGCTTCATGGGTTACTAAAAGGCCCGCCAGTAGTGTGGCCAAATAGTAAAAACGGGTGCTCATGCTGGATGGCGACCTGATCGATGGAGTTGGACACAACTACCAGTCGATACAGCTATTCGCATGAGTGAATGCTAATGCGCTTTACTATCAGCAGAAATATCGAATGAACTAAATAGAACACGATGATCAAATCAACCCAAATCATGCCCACTTTACTGAAGCTATTGTGTTGTCATGACTTCACAAATGCAGTGACAGATGGTCAGGAACCACACCCAAATGGGAAAACAAACATGAGAGGAGAACTAGCATTTTACCTGTGTTCTTTGGTTCGGTTTCAAAGGCCAGCAATGTGCTAGGTTGACAAAAAGCAGTTTTAGGGTTCGATCACGTTCGGGAACATGGTTGGTCATTCCCGAAACCTGGGTAACCGAATTCCATCGAAAAATATTAATGCTATTCACAAAAGCGTGAAGGTTGCATTGCCATTACAAACCACGAAAGGTTGGAGCGGAGCAACCACATTCTTTTCTTTGAACCTGGCACTAGCGGAATGTTATAATCATTCACAGTAATTCTTCTCTTACTGGCAAACGGGAATCGACCACGTTTCCACACCGATGGACCAAAGAGGCAACCAGGTCGATCATCCTGCAAGGCACACCATCATAAATGGAATGGAACGATAAAAAAAATACGGTTTCGATAACGTGCCCCTGAACAAAACGTGGTTGGATGATCAAGGAAATCTTTTAGGTGTGGTTGATCACGGATAAACCTTCTATTGAGGAGAAAAAGGAACCTTGGTGTCAGTGAGCGGTCGCATCAGGAAAATGCCCTCATGAAATCGATGATGCGTTGCGTAACTCAGATTGATGTTGAGGCCGACAATATTCCATGCTCGGTTCCTGTGCTCCAATGTGCTCGACAGAGGATGACATAGATAAATGCTACATCAAAGCTGATACCCTCATCAACCAGATCCGAGAAAGTGGCGTTATCCTCTTGCTGGGAGTATACAGACGTGTCGATGGAATCCCTGAGGAAGGGCGATTTCGGACGCTAACGTTGACTGTGCGCTGTCTACGCGTTTGCTAACGCCAACATCAGGAACAACTACACAGGGCAACAAACCACATCTACCCAAGTGTCACATAGCTTGTCATCGAGACGTTTGGTAGGTGAACATCACGCTGTATACTGTGAAACAGATCATTGGCTTGCTCAGAAGCACCTTGAATTGTAGAGCTTCAATGAACGACTGAGAGATCTGAAAATATGGTTGATGGACAGGCATCAACCAGCCTCTGAACTGATACACTACAAAGCAGCTAGGCCACTGACAGGAACGTGAAGCAGCTTGAAACGTCAGCAGTTAAATGGATCGGACAACTGCAGAGACTGGTACGATGACAACAACCAGCAAACAGAATGGTTGGGAGGGGGAGGAGTTTGCTTCATTCCCTACCCATCTGATCCGACTTTGAAGATTGTGTTTATTCAACTGGCCAGAATCATTTGGCAGAAATTCAGGGATTCTCTATGGGGAAGGAAGCGATGTTTCGGCTGATGTTTACAGAGGCCTC